GTTCAATCCCAGCACCTATTCCCCCCATACATGAGAAATGTAAACCACACATCAAATATACAACTAATAGTTGTGGTGATGGATTGACAACTGGTGGTCAACTTGTAGCATGCAGCTGAACTGAACTAGTGTGGTGCTGAGTGTGGGAGGCCCACTTGAGGACTGTCAACAGCAGCATAAGAGGCATAACTGGACAAGAAGAGAAGCTATTAGGGACTTGTTGGTTTTCTTGGGGCTGTTCGTTCTCCTGGAGGAGCTTGTCACGCTGGCTTTCCTGATGAACTTGACTGTTCTCATCACTGTTTAAGGAGCTCAGGAGCTTGTTGTAGCTGAGAATGCTGTGGTTCACATTGAAGGAGCTCTGGTCCTTACTGGACAATCATTTCCTGGCTCTGGAGAGGAAGATGGTGCACTGCTCAATCTCCAAGAGAAGCTTGTTGTACTGGATTTCTTATATAGACTCAGCTGTTCTCATTGGAGGATCTCGGGACCTCGTTGTCACTGAGGATGGCTGTGGTACTTTTTTGGAGGAGCTCTGGTTCTTACCTTGAGCCTTGATTCTGGGCTCCAACACAGTGCCCTCAGCCTGCTAGCACAGATCCTTCATCCCAGGGGCACAGACTTTCTAGCTTCCACCACTGACTTTTGGGGCTTCTCAGAGCAGATCTGTGAAACAGGCCTGCATGAGAATCATCATGGACTCAGCCTCCAGCTGGACTTGTTGGGGGGCACTCTTATGGGTCCTAGGTCTTCAGCTGGACCCATGTACATTGCCATGGGATCCAGGCCCTCAGCTAGATTCTTTTGGATTTTAGTCTATGACATATTTCCTGAAGCCTCTTTGTATATGACTCTCTGGGTGACTATTAGAAAATAATCCTATAAATTGTGTGCCCTGTATTTTTTCCCTTGCAATACCTCACTACAACAGTTGCAATCACAGCATTGTGATGAATTCTTGTTCAGCAAAGGCATAATTTCAGAAAATCAAATGCTAGAAAGTATAGAAATTCACATGTTTTGTCCCCTGTCACCAGAACAAAACCTTCATCATACTTATTACAGAACGGATTATAACATCTGTTTCTCTTTAGTCCAGCTCACATTTAGATTATACCTGTAACTGGTAGTTTTAGGGAAACAGGATCGTTTTCCTTCATGCCATCAGTGGTAATATTTAAGCTACTGCCTTACTGTAACATTCTTTACATATACCTAATATAAATTATTTAAAGACAAATAAACCATGTTTAAAATAAAAACTAAAACAGGCAGAGCGATGCAATAACTAAGCAGTTGTTGCAAGGTACTGAAAGTGAAGAGATTGCATTGATTCTCCAGAATAGAATGTACAGTAGTTTCTTTTATTTTTTCTTCCTTTTTTATTAATTTTCTTGAGAAAAAATTGCAATGACACAGCTTCAAAATAGGTTGGTATGAGAGTTACAACAATTAATATACTACATATTGTTGTCTTCGTAATGGTTATTCATAGTACAAGATGCAGACATGATATTCTGCCCAAACACTATTAGTACAAATCTTTCTTCTCATTGCATTAAGAGAAAGTACCTGGATAGCTATCCTAACTATTTTGTATATACAGATACAAAATGGTCCTTCATTTTTATCACCTTTTTTGTTTAGTTTTGTCTAGCCAGACTGTATCTTAAGTAAATGTTTTATTTTTTTTAAAAAAGGGTAATAAATAAATAAATGAAAAAGAGCAGTTTCTTAACTGCAAATTTCTTCTCTGTGGACCTCAATAGATCTGTAGCAGAATAGCTGGATAGTTTAACCAGGCATATTCCTGGACCCAGACCTGCATCCTCAAGAGGTGATAGTAAAAGATCTGTATTTTTAACAAGCTCCCCAGATACTTCTCACAAGGTTTAAGAACTGCTGGTCCTGGAAGAGCAAAAGATCAACAGAGGGTATAAGACTATGTCTGGGGAAAAGTCAGGGTTATATTATAAAAGTGAGAGGAACGGAAACCTGTAAGAGACCAAAAATAGCAGCCAAAGTCAGAGCACTGTTTCTATGAGCTGAGAAAAATCAAAATTTAAGAAGTAAATGGCAAAAAGTGTGAAATAAAACAGATAGATAGTATGAATAAAAATGGATAAAAGTCACTGACTATGGTTAAAAGGTTGAATGTAGCCTTTGAGCTTATTTCAAGTAAAGTCATGATGGAATGCAGATTTTTTCCAGGCCTTGACCTGTCCTCCAAGATCCAACTCCGAACAGTGCCTCCCAGCGACGCAGTTCCTGCCTCTGCTGCACAGAGTACATCAATCCTTAGAGTACCTAATTCTATTACAGCAGTTCATCTATTGCACTGAAGTTCATTTACCTGTTCTTCCTTTAGACTGCATATTCCCTGGGGGCAGGAGCTGTCTTTTTCTCTATTTTTGTATATTTTATTTTCCAGCTTTGTTGACATATAATTGACAAATTAAAATTATATGTATTTATGGTATACAATGTGATGTTTTGATAAGTAGCTGTGTCTTGTTCCTTTTCAAATCTCTAGTGTCTGGCACAATACCTGGCATACAGAAAATATCTGTAAGTGTCTACAGAATGGATGACTGGAGAACAACTGGAGGGAAAGGCCACAGTCCTGCAGTAAACATAGATGAATCTTATAATGAGATGCTGCTGGAACAAGGACTAAATAGGGAACTAGTTCTTACAAAACATGGAAGAGATGTGATTAAAAGCACAGCTTTCTCTTTAGTAAACAGGAAACACAGCTCTTTCTCCTAGTCTTGAAGGAAGCATAACAGGGTGGGTGTACAAGATAAAGTGGCCTAGCTCAGTTGGCCCTTTTGTGGAGAATGAGGTATAAAAATGGGATTTGCAGCCTGAAGAGAAAAAGTATAAGAGTCCTGATAGGAGTGTACTGGTGAATCATTAAGAGAGTAATAGATTCTATACTATCTTCCCAGTGGTTAACAACATCTCACTCCATTCTGCAGTCTTTGAAATAACAGACTGCATCTGTCAGTCATGCTAATTGGGTCCGAATATCAGACATGGAGCCTGAAAACACAAAGTCACTGGTCTCTTCCTCTCCTGAACTCTCTCTCTCTCTCTCTCTCTCTCTCTCTCTCTCTCTCTCTCTCTCTCTCTGCATTTCCTTTTCAGCGTTTAAGGCACTTACTGCAACACATCTCCTAACTATTTGTCTTTTTCTTGCTGGACTCTATAAAGAGTTAAAGACTAGACCTTTATCTTATTCATTGCGTTGTGCTTTAGCATAGGGCTTTTTATGTAATAGCCAGGTGTGTGTATTAGGCACATACTTCTAATAAAGCATTTATCACGTCATATTGTACTTGTTTGCCTGTCTGTCTCCCCTTTTAGATCATGAGTTCAAGGCAGGGAGTGAGTTGTATTGATCTATGACTCCCTTTGGAAATATTACTAGTTTTGTAAATATTTACTGAATCAAATTTTTGTTGAATTGAATGTGTGGATGAAAGAATGAAGAAAATAAAAATGCAAGGACTTGGGATAACATGAAAAGATCATGCACTGTACAAGCACTGCATTTTGTTACATAACCATCTGTCTCAGCCTGCCATCGGTAAGCCTGTAAAGCTGGTAGAAAATGAAGCTGGGGGACTTGTTTTCACATATACTATAAATGCTCAGAATATACACACTCTGGGTCTTCATATGCAAATCTCCATCCATATCCTTTACACCAGGGTCTTGCACAAGAGGGCTAAGCTGTCCAAAGATAAATGACTGACATCTCCTCCCTTGTTGAGTATCTATTTGAATAGTATCAATGTTACTCCACTATAGTAACTGTTTCCTTCTGGATTATAATTTAAGGATGTCACTGTAGTGAAAATTAACAGGTTGGTGAAACAATGTAGAAACAGCATAGTAAAAATCCACTGTGCTGCAAGAAAAGCAGCTACTTGAAGGGCATCTTTAAATGTTTACCAGTTTGTTAGGGTTCCCCACCCCCTTTAAAAGATTGATGTACATTCTATTGGTCCAGGAGAAAACAACAAAAGCGAACCCTTATCATGGGTATTTTAGGTGACAAGCATTATTATATATAAATTACACACATTAACTCATTTTGCAGAACCAGCTTTTGAGATGGGTCCTACTGTGATCTCCATTTTGGACGAAATGAATCTGAGGGTCAGAGAGGTAATTTAATGTGATCAAGGTCACAGAGCTAGAAGTGGAGGAGCTGAGATTTAAATCCAAGCAACCTGATTCCAATACACCTAAAAGGAAAGCACTGGTTTCAGTGTTTGGTTTGCCTGTGCATGTTTTAAAGAAAATTCTTTATCTACTCTTAATATGATAATCTGAGCTTTTATAGAGAGCCTGTTCTATGTCAGTAAGGATAATACACGTTTTAGCTACATTTTCATTCTTGACAATAAACCCGCGAGGTACTATTATTATCTGAGAGAGAGAGAGAGAGAGAGAGAGAGAGAGAGAGAACAAAAAAATATTTTCAGAATCAGAGGTTAAAACGATTCTCCCCAGTATTGAAATGCATACAGGGTAACTCCACTGCAAGCGTCTCAATCTTTTCTGGTAGTGAAAGGAGAAACGGAGGACCTCAATGCCACTGGAGTACAATGAAATAATGGATGTGAAAAGGCCTCGCTGAACAAGTGCAAGGGCCTACCCACTCGAAGCACTGTCGAAAACTGGTTACCCAGGGCCCCTGCCCAGAGGTTTCTCGTCCCAACCCTGCCCCTACTGCGCCCAACCCACAGCGATATCTTTGAATCTCTTTCTCCAGCTCCTCAGATCCTGCCCCTAAACGCTTGGCAAAGCGGTGGAGCGGAGAATAGAAGGTACGCGCGCGAGCAGAAGGCGGGGCCTGCCGCCCGATCAGTCCGGGGGGTGGTTTATACACATGCGCCATGGCCTCGCAGCTTCAACCGCCCCGTCGCTGTGGCCAATCAGGGCCCGCGGCGCGTTCGGAACGTATCAACGCTTTGTGGGTCGTGTGCGTGCGAGGGGGGCGACGTAAGGGCGCTTCGCGAACCCGTCTCTCCTCGAATGAAAGGAAACAACCTCCGGCGACAGAGCCCCGCTCTCAGTTGCTGCGGGAGAACTGAGACCGACTTCTTTCTCTTTCCCCTCATTGGCGCTTGTCTCTGCCGTCCGCTTCTGGACCCGGCTGGTGAGTACCCACGGAACCCCGGGGCCCCCTATACTCTACCGGCGGGAGCAGACAAGGAGGATGGCGGTGGCCAGGCCGCCGCCCCTGTCCGTTGTTAAGGGGGGACTCTTGGTGGTCTCTCTTTATTGTCAGGGACCCCAGAAGCGCCGCTCATTGTAGCCTCTAGGCAGAGCGGCTGGTGAGAAAGTCCTCTGGAGGTACCGAGAGAGGGAGGTTAGGCTTAAGCCTATACTTCGGGGGAGGGGGCGCAACATTTGAGGAGGGAAAAAGCTGGGAATTTTTAGTCTTTCCTCTTGCTTAAGACATATTTGGGAATGAGGGAAGATTCCAGTTTGGGAAGAGGAAGAGGTAGAATTTTTAGGATGGCAAGAAGGTTAGCCCTAGGGAATGAAGAAAAACTCCGAGGATGGTTGATGAGGGGAGAAACTGATATATAAAGCAGACTATTAGACGGCGATCTCCTGGGGGAGGCGGCATAAAGAAAGTGGTGCGATGGTATTTTCCTAGATACAGGGAGATAGGAAAAGGACAATTAGGAGATCCTGACTTTAGGACGGAAAGAATCCTGCCGAAGTGTTTTAGAGAAAGATCGCTTTTCGAGTTTATCTAGCACTTGATTAGAGGGCGATCTTGGAGTCTAGTGAGCATCAGGGAATAAATAGCGGAGAAGATCTGTGTGTTATATTTACCATCCTCTATTATGTGGACGAACAGCGCGGGATTCTTTTGCGATTTCCATTCGTTTCAATATTTTGCGTAGAAGTTGAAAAATATATTTTTTTGTGAAGCCTTTTATTTACATATGATTAACTGCGTAATATCAAGTCTTACCCATACAGTTGAAATTTTTTCTCTACCCCTTGGGTTTGAAACAACTGGAAAATTCCTTTAGTTTCCTTTTGAATAACCGCAGAAAGCAGTGCGAAGCATTTAACAGTATCGTGCAACCAAATTCAGGTGCCCTTCCGGTACATCTCTTTCTTGTTTATTTCTCTCCACCGTAACTTTCCTGACAGAAATACTGTCTTTTGAGGATCGCATTTATATATTTTTGATTTGTATATTTCAGCTTGCTTGCACGAGGAATGTTTTAATCTTCCGGAACTGCAGTTTTTGTTTTGTTTTGTTTTGTTTGTTTTTCTGTGAAAGTGCTCTCAGATACCAGGCATTCATTGAGCTCTCGAGTTGGTTCTTGACTGCTCTCCTTGATGGTTCAGGTTATTTCTACCTTGGTGCCTCACAGCATCTGGGAAAATCAGAAAGACATTGATTTCTTCAGCGTAGCTAATCTCACTAATATTTTTTCACATATTTGCATTATTTTTTTACGCTATTATTGTTGCCTCTTTTTTGTGCTTTGTAACGTTATACTTCTTTTAAGGAAAAGGCTTCATTGTGGGGGGAAAGTATCAAACTTTGATCTTTTCCTGCCCAGAAAAACCTTTTAGACTAAAATTAAAATGTCATGTAACCTTGGATCATTATGAACCCCTTAGTATTGATCCTTGCCTTCCCTTGTTCTGCTTAACTGGAGACCACAAATGTGACAGTGTTAGATAAAAATCTGTATTTTTATGATAAGGACATTTTTACCAGGAGTCATTGTTTCCATGATGTTCTGCACTTCGTGTTTTATAAGGAGGCTGTTAAAAAATAGCAAGATAGGCACAGATGCATTATTTGAATTTTAATGGAAAAATCCATTTAGTCATTACACATTGGGGAAAGTTTTTAATTGGTTTGTTGCACTTTTTGTATGGCTCTGTTCATTTTACACATTAAATTTAGACTAATTGTAGAAAGATATGATAGAATATTTTGCATGTAAAATAAAGTGTACCTTTTTTCTCTTTTAGATCTTGGAGTCTTTGATATATAGAAAAGCAGGCTCTCAATTAAGAAGAAATTTACCTTTTTATAATTTGAAAGAGACAAAATTCAACATGGATAGAATTTGGGGATATCATTGGACAATTTTGAAAATAAAAAATGATTTTTGACTTTAGGAGTTTTCTTTATTTTAGGCCAGTTTTATAGCCAGTGCCAGGATTGTAGAGAAATTACACATTAAGGATGTCTATACAGATTAGATTTATAATGTGCCACCCTTTCAACTTGCCTGGATGACTGGGAGAAATGCTGAATAAATTACAGTGTCTTCAGAGTGCCCATTATTCATTGCATGGTAGTATAAAAAAATAACTGAAAGCTCAAATAGCAGATTTTGCTGCTATTTATGAATCTTGATATTTTGCATAGTTAATTCTAAAAATGTAGGTAGCTATATTCTGGATAAAGCGACTGAACACATATTTGCCTGAGCAAATGCAGACACACTTCCCCTTTTGTTTCTTTTGTTTCTCTGTTATGTCTTTTTTTTTTCTTTAATCCTGAAAGTATTTGCAGCCTGCTTTCAATCAGTTTCATGGTTTATAGCCAGTGCTAAGTATTGTAAAGTATCCGATGGCACTTGGAAGACTGAGGTACAGTATTTAAAATTATAGATAACATTGAGTTTGTTAAACCCATCAAAGCAGAGACTATAAGGACATTTGAAGTTTTGCTAAAAAGGAACAGATGTAAATTAGATATAAATTAATGAAAAAATATGCTTTCTTTGTTTCTGTTTTCTTTACTTAAAGTATCTGAATTTTTATATTGCTTAGCAATGAATGTTTTGTAGATACAGTAGTACGTTGCTGATACTGTATTTGTTGGTGAACAAATTCTCAGAAAATTACATTGTAGATTTGTGCCGATTTTGTCAACAGTGTCATGAAAATGTACAGATGTATAGAAAAATGGATGGAATTTAATAAATTAGTTGAAGACAAAAGTTTAGGATTTTATTGTGATATGTTTTGTGACAGGCTGGGTCTTGAACAGCTTAGTTCTATTTACTTCAGAAAACTACACAAATCAAATAACCTATTTTAAGTTTGTCCAGTGTTGTTCTGAATAGTCTTTGTTGAGAGTGATGATCTAAATGTGAAACCTGTGTTAGAGCTTTTCTTCCTTTTTTCTGGTTGACTATACTGTCTATAATTATGATTTGATCAAATTCAGAGTTCATTCAGAAAAATTTCCCATCCATTATAGATTACTAATTTACATATGGAAGTTGACTGTATTTAGATCATTCTTTGTTAATTAATAAGCATACTTGGAGTAAATTCAGGTCCTGTAATAGTTTTATAAATATTGGGTCCTAAAGACTGCATTTTTAGATAAACTGTTAGGAGCTTAATTTTCTCTGTACTTGAAAAAGGAATAGAACAGCAAAATCCTTTAAATTTAATGTGCATAATTTTTTTAACTTGAAAATAATTCAGATTTTAGTGATAAGTGTTCCAAAGTCATGATTAAGTGAATTTATTTACTTTTATTGTTTTATCAATGTGAGAACTTTAATGGATTGTACACTTACACAACTCTATTCCTCTGTGTTGTAGTTTTCTTAGTAGTTTTTGCTTTATTCTTAGGTATATAATTCTTTGTCTCCTTAAGCAGCACCTAGCTATATTTGAAAACAGTTTTTTAGTAATTTTTTGAGCAGATGATGATTTAACATTGTACTTTCTGTATTTTATTCACACAGAAATAATTCTAATTATTCCACATATTCTCTAATTTGGGAACAGTTTGATTTTTCTCAATTCAGATTTCATTTAGTCTGTTCTCTTTTTTCCTCCCTTCCTCCTCCATATAGGTATAAAAATAGAGACATCTTGAATTTTAATGTTAATTTATCTACAATAACCATTTTAAGTGCATGTATTAAAACTTAGGTCAAACGTTAACCTACTACATGAATATGTATAAACTAATTTAAAAATGAAATTAACTATTTTGTTGCGATTCTTATTCTCTGTAGCTTTTCTTGAGACTTAAAGTGGCATTTTAAAGGCAATTTAAAAATCATGTCAAGCTCAATTGAACAGAAAAAAGGGCCTACAAGACAGCGCAAATGTGGCTTTTGTAAGTCAAATAGAGACAAGGAATGTGGACAGTTACTAATATCAGAAAACCAGAAGGTGGCAGCACACCATAAGTGCATGGTAAGTAAGCTAGCCACACCCAAGAGACCTTGAAACCATTCACGAGAGAGAATCTTAATAACATATGAATATTCCTGAATATTTTTTAAAAAGCACACTAGTTAAATTTTTAAGCAATGGTTTAACAGTAATGATATGCCAGTTATACTACAGAAATTCTTTTAAATTTAACAACTTATGCATTGTTTTACTGTAATTTGTATGTGAACCTTAATTTTTTTCAAATGTAATTTATAGCTCTTTTCATCTGCTTTGGTATCATCACACTCTGATAATGAGAGTCTTGGTGGATTTTCTATTGAAGATGTCCAAAAGGAAATTAAAAGAGGCACAAAGCTGGTAAGTTGGTATTTCTGCCTCTTGTATAGAATTTATTTTAAACACATTTTAAAAAGTAATTGTTTTAGACTATATTACATTATTAACTGGGTATAATTTTAAATTGCAGACTCTTTTCTCAGCCAGCAAAATCCAAGACTAGGTTTAAGTTATTTACCAATAAACAGAAAGAACTGAATCAGTATCTATATTACTCAGACATTTTTCTTTTTAAAAAGGATTGTACTATTCTTAAATACTGTGTTTACCTAGGAAACATTTTTTTTGATTCACATATATTGTATATTAAAATGTTCATTCAAGTATAGTATATTTTTCATGATTCCACTATGCTTTCTTGCCCTGTGATAAAATTATTGTGGTCATTACAAGTCAAGATGATAGTACCTCTCAACAGGAAAATGTTAGCACTTGAAGAGCAAAGTATTTTAAAGTTGTTCGGCTATTTGGCACAGCTTTTATGGCTTTGGACAACTTTTGGTGATTTTTTTTAAAAGAATTTCATTCTGTGGTAATAGTTTTTTAGTTTTGCTTTTCTTTTTCTTTTTTTTTTTTTTTTTTTTTGAGACTGGGTCTTGCTATGTAGTTACAGCTGGCCTTGAACTCACTCTGTAGCCCAGGCTGACCTTAAACTTATGGTGATCCTCCTGCCTCAGCCTTCCAAGTACAGGGATTACAGGCATCCACCATCACAACTGGCTATCAACTTTTGGTGAATTTAACAGGAGTTTTTCTAAAACTGTGCTATATTTGTCTTCACTACCTGTAGCTAGGCTGTAAGATATTCTGTTATTCTGTTTGAAAACTAATGTCTCAGTTGCTATTTATGACAAATGGTTTACTTTGAAACATTTAATTAATGCAAATACCTATTTCCATTTGTTTATTTTTCTTGTTTGAGTTCTTCATTGAAATTACATTCATAAATGTACCTTCAATAGCTTTGCTATCAAAAATTTCATTATTTTAAAGATGGTTTGTCAGAGCGTATATCTGTGTTCTTAGGCTCTGAATAGCCTTTTATTTCACAAAAAAAATATGAGGTGATAGTTTTTGATGAAATGGTTATGGGAAGAAGGCTGTCCATTGTTGGATTAGGAGCAGTACGTTTTGAAAAGTAGTCTTCTCTTGGAAAAAAAAAAGCCAGTATGAAGAAATGTAAGTTCGAAGTTAACATTGGAGATTTACTTTGAGATACATAATATTAAATTCTAATACCAATATTGGCATGAATGAAAATTCAGAGGTCAGACTATTTTAGTTGTAGTGAATAAGACCTTAACTGTGAAGCAGTTACTTTCCCTATCCATAAAACTCTAGATAGTAATAGAAAGCGATTTTTTATTTGGTGGTTTTAGATTTCTTTGTTTCACTGTGTTATTCTGATTTTTTTAAGAACCAGAGCATAATGTTTTGATATTCTGGTCTTTAAAACAACTTCAAATGTAAAGTATGAATATTATTTATTTGTAAGTAGTTCTATAAGCCTTTTTACTCTATTGTTTATTCCTTGCCATTATGAATATAGCTTGACAATACTTCTTTATCCTGACTTGTTAGCATTTTTATTACTTGATGGCTTTTGTAGTCAGAACAGGAACAATTTTCTCCCTAATGTTGAAATATTAAATGTAGTGCCTGGTTCTGCCTGTTACATGAAGCATCAGCATGCATTGCTTAGTATTACTAAGTTCAAAGGAGACTTAATTTATTTTTACATGTTTGTAGAAAAAACATCAGAACTTCGTACACATTTCACTATTATAGGTTATTTTGATTATTTTAATTTTATAGGATAGGCTATTAATCTCCCATCTTCCCCCAAGTTAGTGTACAATGAAACTTGTTACTTGATTTAGTCTAGAAAGTGAAACAATATTGGGGCTTATGAGACCAGGTATAGTAACAGACTTGGGTTTAAATCCCAGCCCTGTCACTTGCTAACTGGGTCACTCTGAGTGGGTTATTTACTTCTCTAGGCCATATTTTTTTACCTGCAAAAAGGGGGTAATAACATTACTTGCCTTATAGAAGTATTGCCAGGATTAAAAGAGTATAGTCTGTGCATAGTTCTGAGCATGTAGCTAGGACTTGATAAATGGTAGTTATCACTTGTTATTGCTTATAAAGAAAAATAAGGACCTACTATTTTTATCATTGTAGGCTAATGAAAACCTTACTGAGCTGAAAAATCATAGACTTAATTTTTTCAGTGTTGAGGATTGAACCCAAGGACTGATTGATGAATGCTAAGCATGCATTTTACTGCTGAGCTCAACCCCCAGCCCTGAGGCCTGTTTTCTTTAATAATTGCACAGACATATTATGTAACCTTAAACAAGTCATTAATTTATCTTTTGCCAACTGTAAACAGATAATGCTGTATCACTGCTTATTAAACAGTAATGTTGCACAGCTGAAAAGTACTATAAGAATCACCCTAGAAAAAAGTGTTTCAGAAGCAGTTTGGCACTATGGGCCTCTAGCTTTGAGGAATGCCACCAGAAGGGGCACATTTCTGAGCATCAGCATATTATTTACCTCCCTTTTCTTTCCTCTAAATGTCAGAATTTAAACAGCTTTTGTAGGGGATAAAAGGCCTGTATTTATGTATTTTACCTTGAAATCATCATAAAGGCTCCTCTTAACCTTAAGTTTTGCTCTTTCCTAATACATTGGGTTTTTTGGTTTTTTTTGTTTTTGTTTTTTAATTTTTGGGGTTTTTTTGGTGGAACCGGGGATTGAACTCAGGCCCTTGTGCTTGCCAGGGAAGCACTTATTCCACTGAGCCATCTCCCTGGCCCTACATTGTTTTTTAAGTGCTATAAAGTAACCAAAATTCCAGGTTTTAGTTTTCTTCTTTATTTTTCCCTGTGTATATTTGTCTGAGTATTGGAAGACCATAAATCAAACAGAGAGGGAGAGAAATGAAGAGCTTTTTGTAACTAGATGATCTACTTATAAAGTTCATGATCAACTTTGGTAATGGACTTCTTAAGGCATTTTATAGTGTGAGCCATATTTGCCCTTGGTCCTGACTGCCTGCATTTCTGGATGCAAACTAAATCATGAATATCCTGGGAAAATAATCAAAAACAGAAATATTAGGTCATGAGTACTTTCAAGACAAATTTCAGTCTGTATCTGTTGTTGGTCCCAAAAGTGCTCACTTTCCTGAAGAATAATGACAAACCAGGTGGTGCATGTCTGTAATCTTAGCATGCTGGAGAATTGCTGCAAGTTCAAGGCCAGCCTTCATTGTATAGTGAGTTCACAGCCTGCAGTGCATAGTGAGACCCTGCCTCAAAAACAAAAACAAGAGCAAAATAAACCAAAACCAAACCTAAAGACTGACAAAGAGAAGAGGCTAGGGCTTGAAGTGGATGATGGGTACAGACAATCAGCAGGGTCACATTTGCACTCAGTAAGGCAGGAGATGCACGCATGTGGTTCCTATGTGCTTATAGCCACGGGCAGTTATACAGGTTTTCACATCATCCACAGGGAGTAAAAGAGAAAAGAAACCTCTTACATGAATGTTTTCATGTCTTTTATCTCATCTTTAAATACATAGCATTTATGTATATTAAAGAAGATGGACCAGGGAAAATTTGCTCGAGTACTAAGGTTTATCATTTGAGGCCTGATTTCACAGTTTTGAGAAAATATATGTATTTTTCCAGAATGATTTCCATTTCCTACTAAAGCTGTAAGAAGCTAGCATACCTATACCATTTATTCTTATTCTCTAGCCATCGAACGAAAAACAAGAATTCCCAAGTAAAATTATGAGTTACCACTGCAGTTTTGAATTTGTCTCAGGAGACACTTGAGCAGTATATTTCAAGAACATACTGGCTGAAGCTAGTTAGTGAGATCATGAAGAATATATACATCAGATAGCTCCTCTTACTAGTTAGTACCTGTGTCAGATATATCAAAAGATTGCAAAAACAAAAACAGTTAAGGAGGCCATTTAGTTCACCTTTCTTACCCTTAGGCAGGATTACTGGCAAGTCATCCAAGATAATATTTTGCCTGCCTTGTTATTGAGTATGTCAGGAAATTGTGATTTTTTTTACCTTTATAACCTGAAACAGAAATAATAATATATAATATTCATAATTGAGAAATTCATTCCTTTGTATAACTCAGATATTTCAGTTTAAAGCCATTTATTCTAGGTTTATTTTCATGTGTTAAAGAAGTACAGAATATGGCTTTGTTTCTGTTTTTAAAAATCCTTGGTCCAGGGATATAGTTCAGTGGCACAAGCACCTGCCTGGTAACTGCAAGGTCCTGAGTTTGATTCCCTGTACCCCCAAAAAATCCTTTATATACTCAGTGACCATCTTGAGGTCACTGCTAAACTATCCTTTTGGACAGTACACTCTAATCACATGTCATTTGCAATTCCCTGGACCAGTCATAGCGAACCTTCAATGATAATGGACAACTGTGCTGTGGCCCACATGCCATAGGTTCATCACCACTGCATGTGGCCATTTTTCCTATTTTTCATAGAAAGAGCTAACATTTACTGAACACTTAATATATGTAAGGGACTAGGCTAAATATTTTTTAAATGATTGTATTTCATCTTCACAGTCATACTGTGAAATAGGAAAGTATTGATACATATCTTATATATAAGGAAACTGAGGCCCAGGGAAGTTAAAAACTCTACTAACTGGTTATGCATATCGCTAGTAAATGGCAGAGTGAGGATTTGAATCCAGTGCCAGTTGACTCCAAAGCCAAAACTCCTAGTCATCAAGTTATATTAGGCCATCTTTTTAACTTCACAACCAAACATTGCATTTTTATTTTTATTTTTATTTTTTTTATTTTTTATTTTTTTTTCTACAGTTTTATTGATAAACAGATAGCAATGAGACAGTTTCAAATCAAATCAGAAGTACAGTCTACGGCCATACCACCCTGAACGCGCCCGATCTCGTCTGATCTCGGAAGCTAAGCAGGGTCGGGCCTGGTTAGTA